ACCTATGCTATATGCGATAACTATTAGAGTTATTAGGCTACTTAGTAGCCGCTACTAGGGATATTGAATTTGCGGTGTGGATTATGCTCAGAAATAGTATTTGGATAATCTTCTTCTGAATTACCGAAGAACAATCTCGAGGGTTCGTCGAGGCTCGAGGCAAACGCGCAATCTGACCGAACCCGGGGAATACCATCCTTCCGACCCGGGGAATCGGCATCTGCAGAATATCTGGCTGTCGCCGCAATTGGCAGCGTGCCACAGCAAAGCGATTCGCCTCGGGCGAACAGCAAGGTCGTGCGCGGATATTCAGTATCTCGCTGATGGAGTCTATCCGAGTCAGATAATCAGACAGCCTCCCAGTGCCTGTGGCTATCAACTGAGCGGTCTAGCCTCGACCCTTACTTTTTCTTCTCGTGGAAGTGCTTTGCTAAAGGCATCCTGAATTGTTGCAATAATATGACAGGTGCTGTAGACCCTATAAGTAACCCTCAATGCTGACGTAGAAGAGCATTTCAATGAATTTCGAGTTTCGAGGTGGATCGATTCCTCGAATCGAATCGATTCGTCTGCCCGCCGCAGCATCCTCGATTGATTAGCACCGAACAATCGATCGATTTTCGATATCTCGATCCAATCGAGCCTCGGTCCGATGTATGCTCAACGTCTACAAGTCATCACCGTCCATATCAGAAAATATGACTGTTATTACGGAAATTTCTTTCCGGGTAATACCCGGTAAGAAATTACCGGGTACCTGTAATTAACAATTAGACCGGTATACCTGGCCTTCTTGTTACGGTACATACTCGGCGGGTATGTACTGTAACAAGTAGACCACTTTTAGTGGGTCAGTGTGCCGTATTCTGAGCGTCCTAGGTGTCCTCATAATGATGTTTCTTATGACTTCTAGATGTCATTTGGAACGAAGCGAGCTGTGTTGAAAAGTTCACTTACAGTGATAGCGATACAAATACTTTAGTTAAGGCATGGATAAATAACTGAACCCGCCCGTTGCCGCTATCATACATAAACTACAGTATCGCTCACCCGCGATATCACGACTATGCGAGAGAGGCATCACAAGAATATCCTTGGATAATTTTCATCATGTATTCGGTATCGCTCTTCCGGCGGAGAAGCGCGACCAGATACATGATGGAGCTTCTCGGATGGAAGTTGGACTTGTTTTGCGTCGTCATGAACACGACGGAGTCATCTCGAAGGTCAGCGCTCTCATAAGCGGCACGATCGTGTGAAATCAGGGTGGTCGGTTTCCGGGGTTTATAGAATAACTCCCCGCTGGGGGTTATTCGTAAGCCCTGAGGAGATATAGTGGGGGTTTATGAAATGGGGGTTTATTTTCTCGCCCGCCTTCGGCGGGCGAGCGAGATTCAGTTCGCGTGCGTTTCTGTGATACCCATATTTACTCACTATGCCTCGTAAGGTGGACCCCAAGAAGTTGAACCCTCTCCAATACGTGAAAGAAACTGTCGTCGTCATTGGTGATGAAAGAGTGTCGAAGTGGTATTGCCAGTTTGATGATGGTGAATGCAAGTTCGGAGGAGAGTGGGCTCGCAAACGGCTCGACAAGTTCAGGGATCACTTGACGAGTAAACATAGTTTGAAGCATCCCAACTGTGGCGATTCTGATGATGATACTCACGGAGCTCCTCGCAAAAGGGAGCGCAAGAGCCCTCACGAGAACCGAAGCAAGAGGAGCTGCTCATCACCCAAGAGACGTCAGGCGAAACTGACTCGATATATGGTGGCCTGTGCTCCGGAGGAGCGCGTGGAGGCCTTCCATAAAGCTTTAGTGGTGGGCTTGGTGAGATCTGGCGCGGTATGTTTCCTAAGGATGCTCGATCTTCCGTTGGTAAAGGAAGCAATCGACACTCTCAGCCCCGGCTATAGTCAAGCAGAAGTCTCCTTCAGTGATAGCGTCAATAAAGTTGTTGACGAGTATTGTGCCCGGGCTGTGCTAGAGCTTACATCTTTGGCGAAGTCCAACAACAACGAGATATCGCTGACTCTATACTCGTGGGGTTCGAATGAGCGGTCTATGGCCGGACTTTGTGGTGTGGTACTGGATCGGAGCACGGGAATCTTCCGTTCTATACCGCTCATCGTCCGTAATATCGAACTAAGACTCTCCCAAACCATAACGCATCAAGATGTTGTGGTCGGATTGGTGAAGGACGGCATCGATCTTCTACATGCAAGTAATATTGAGCGTCGCAATCGGAATTAGCGAGTGTGCTAGGAGTTTAGCTTTTGTTGATTCTCGTACATGTGAGATTCACCCCGCTTCCCATTTCTCAGATGGTTTATCAGTGACGGCAGTGGTGGGCTCCTCCGATGTCGTTGCACTTCTGGAGTGCTCTGAGGGGAATGAAACACGTTGTGGCATCGAGCTAGATAGCATCAAGCATCTATGCTGTTTGGCTGAAGGGCATCGTCGCATGGTGACGAAACTCTCAAAGTTACCGGCGCTTGCTAGGTGGATCGAAATATCCTCAATGATTCTTGCCGCTGCCTCCCAAGAGGGCCTCATGAACAGCCTGGATCTTCCGGTCGACGCTGTCTTTGGAAGCTTTTGCTGGGTGGTTGAACACTGGGTATATTTGCAGAATCACTTAGCAGCTGTTCAACTGAGCAGGTGAGAATTCCTTGGTCAATACATTGCGATTCATCACCAGGGTGCAAGATTCCTTAGGTTCGATAGCGAAGATCATTCGGACCCAAAAGCTGACGGAGACTCTCGTGTGTCGCGAAGTCTTGAAATACTGAGCAATGCTAGTGAACGGCGACTTGCTTCGGCTCTCGCGTCTGTATTTGGGCCCTTCGAAAAGCTCGGGGCCGAGCTATGTACCGGCACACATTGCGTTCTTTTGGGCTCCAAGATGATCTTCACTGCGTGCGAAGATATCATGAAGCAGCGGAATGTGCCCAGTGAGGTGAAGGAAGTCATCGAAGACATGTGAGCACTAAGAAAGCCCTCGATCATCAATATGATGTCAGTCACTGACGGTCATTGTCGATTTCAGGTTGCCTGATCTTCTGGGACATGAAGGTTTCATAGCCTTCTTCGATCCCAATGATTGGGTGGATAGTGCTGAATGGCAACGCTCTCGAATCGAGGCTGTTATGGCGGCGATCAGGGCATATAACGATTCTAATGATGGACTATGGTCTGGGCGACAGAAAATCCTGAGGCCGTCCATTATACATGACTTCTTCACCCGTTCTGGTGAGATCCCGTCTTGGTTTGATATCTAACTCATTCTTCTGGCGAATACCTTATGAATTTATTGCAAATCGAATGAAGGCTAGGTATCTCAACGTGAATATCTTTCCGCAGGTCGCTTCTCCAGTTGCCGGCCTGAGGATGTGTCCCAGCCGGATGGAGGTCTGTCACTGGCCAGTCTTCGGGCGGATCAGTTCTGGTTTCTATACCAAGCTGATTGCCCTCTCGCCGGCCTTCTCTATCGTGCTTCTCTCATGCCATGCGCAACTTCGAAGAAAGTTCTACAGCACTTTCGAGCATTGGGTGGACTAGCAGGGTAGCGATAAACGAGATTTTTCACTGAGTTCTTCACATGGTGTGTATGTCAGGTCCAATCTCTCAGAGAAGGAATTGTTGGCGTATAGTGTTATCCTTAGTCTCGACGATTTTGGGACGGGCTCTGCAGCTCTCAAAGCTAGATCATTCGTCGGGAGCCGCAAAACATCCCCCATGCACAGTCCAATAAAGGCAGTGATTTAGTTGATCGAGAATCTTGAGCTGAGGTATGTTGATCAGGTTTCTCCTCCTCATAGTGAAGTTCCCATGGTGGATCTCTCCGAGACACCGGAAGGTTCTAGAAGCGAACAAGATATGAGTGTAGAATCTTGAACCCATCAAAGACGGACACGCTCCTCGCAGATTTCTTCCGCCCCAGCGAAGCTCTTCCCTTCAATCGTCGAAAGTGGTCGAATCCACACGGTTAGTGAAGCAGGTGAAAGCAGGCAGGTACCACATGATCTGGATGGCTTCGGTTATCGTTTGTCATGACCCGATACCGCGGTCTGGCTGAGGACTAGTCTGAGCTTAGTTTACCGAGTTATTCGCGTTAGGGGTATGGAGAATCCTACACCGACTTTTTCGCGAAAATTCTTGATGGAGAGGCTGCTAATACGGTTGAGAGTACCAGAAGTCAATTCAAGGATAGAGGAAAGGTGATAGAAACCTAACGATGTGTAGCGAATTATACATCACATTGGCATTCTATGACCGTGTCATATCTCCTTCTGTAGAACTCCAAGTGCTGGAGTCAGACCTTGCCTCCTCGTATTATAAGCTCACCATCGACTCGTCAAGGTGCCAAAAAGGTGAGTTTTCGGTCCGCAATGTTTCGAATACTTGCGGATCGGATCTAGAAGGCTTCAATATCGTGAGAGGCTCGTAGGATCCTAAGCGGTTGCTGTCTGGTGGTATATCATGTCAAGTTCTCGCTTCTTCTGTAGTGTGCCGAATACGGGAGCCTGGCTCTGCCTTCTCGCATTCCAAGCTCACCATCGATTCGTCGAGATGCTAACGAGGTGAGCTCCCCTGGAGAACTGCGTTCACAGTATCTCTAATACGTGTGATCGAGCATAAGTTGTAATGTGTGCTGTTGGTGGCGTCAGGAAAATCGAAATACCGTAAGTCTGTCGAGACTCGTTGAGAATGATTTTTTTCAGGTCAATTTCAGATCTGAGAATGTCGAGCTACTTGGGGAGGAATTCATAAAATTCTTCGGGGTTGATGGTGTGCAGTGCACACATTATTATACCGATCCGAAGACTGGAAAAGGAGAGATTTATGATGGCCATATATTCGTTGACGATAAGTATCCCAAAAAATGCTGTATATATTATGATTCTCATAATAAGATTGGAAGCCCTCTCACATATAGTGATTTACGGAGATTTTATGTCAGCGGTGAAATAGCGCTCAACGTTGCCGATTTGAGAGAATACGGTAATTTATGTCTATAGACCAGATAGATTTAAGAAGTATCATAGTAGCATTGAGACTATTCTGGTACTCATAATAGTCTGATACGCGTTGTTGGTGCTAATCTGAAGATGCCTTATGTGCACGTTCGGAGAGTAAGTCTTCTCTTCGGCTCTCGAAATTCAATAACGATTCCATATCATTGCAATAATCTTGTGTTGGTATTAGACCGTAACAAACTCATCATTAGTTCCATGACGCGATGGACTCTTATAGCAGCTCGAATTTCGAACAGAACGACGAACGTGACTACCATGTCAATAGTGATAATCAACACAGTGGGAATCACGAACCAACCCCATCAACCAATATACAGCTGCCTATATATATTGACTGCCTACCGGAATACAGGTTGGACTACAACAACAGTAGACAACACGCAAAAAAAGACAACCAGAGAATTTAGCGCACGCCCGGCGTCACATCAACGCAGTATCGAACAAGCCTTACCGCGCATTGTATGAGGTCCTTTGGGCTTACGCCTTGACAATCTTTCTCGCCGGCGCCTGATTGATGCACCTCATGTAAGCGTGGCTTTCCTGATCACATGGTCAAACGCTCTCCACCGTCGGTAGAGTCGGAGTTCCAAACGAAGCTTGTGCGCGCCGCCATCGCTCTAGGGTGGAGCGAGCGTTCACTCACAAGCGGATATCTCTGGGAAGCTTTAGAGGTTATACGACCTGGGATCAATAAGAAAGGATCTCGCTTATCGAGGTGGAAAATACGTCAAATCAAACAGCAACAATTCGAGGCCGAACGACGACGAGTGATAAACGAGATTATTGTTGACGCAAAACTAGCTAACCCTCCTCCGGGGGTGTGTCTGATGGTGGATTCGTGGACTCCTCCGTTGAGAGCGACCCCGATGGTTGGAGCATGTCTCTCTTATACTGTTTGTGGGAAGAGGAGGGTAGTTCCAATAGCGGGTCGAGCTCTCCGTAGAGGTGAAAGGGAGACCGCTGAAATGTTGAAGAAATTCGTGGCAGAGGAAGTCCGGGGAGCATTCTATGAGCGTGGGTCTCGGACTCTACGACTTTGAGAGTGATATCTGATACTCGATCAGATACTGGTGGAGAGCAGTTGGCACTTTGTGGGTTATTGAGTGATAATGCATCGAATATCTCGAAAGCACGTCGGCAACTCTCTCATATGTTCACTGAGGATATGCAACACCAGATTATAGCGTCGGATGTACCATCCAAACACTCTGCTCGTCCATCGTCCATGACACACCCGATTTCTCTCTGCATCCAAGCAGGGTGTCTGGCTCATCAAAATGCTTTACTTGCTCGTGCATTGACTCGTCCGCCTGATGTGCAAAAGCGGGATCGCGGAGGGCGAGGGAAGACACGCTCCGTGAAGGAGGCGGGAGAATTCGCAGACCTGGTCATTCTCATCACTAACATTCGCAAAATGTTCTCTTTTTCATTCATTGAGCGAGAATATGATGGGATTCGTCCACCAGAGGTGGCACCAACTCGTTGGTGCTCTGCCATTCGATCGATTGCAGTTCTAATCTCCCAGTGGGAAAACATTTTGAGACTGACAGAGAGGCTCGTAAATCTGAATAGCGGAGAGTAAGGTGGCACTTTCGGGATCCTTCGCACCTAGTTTCATCAACAGTCTTGGCTGAGCGACCTTCTGCACGTCCGACATACGTTAATGACGAATCTATTTTTTTATCTTGTAACTCATCGTCATAAGTTATGACTCATAACTACAGGGTGCCGACTTGAAAGGGGTCTTGCGAGAGGACTCCTGCCCCCATAATTTTTCATAGCCGAGGAGTTATAAGACACACAACACACCATTGGAATGCCTCTTCCGAGTTCTACATAAATGTGTCTCCAGCTATTTCATTGACGGACTTCGAAAGATGTTCAGCGCTTGAAATGCATGAGCTCCAACTTGGACACACATTTATGTAAAACTCGAGAGGGCTCATCATTAGGGTATAATGAGATATTATAAGCCTTATGACTCATTGGCTATGAAAGAGTATGGGGGCATGTTACTCCAGCAAGATGTTAAGCCGGCACCCAGTAACTCTTGAATTAAGAGTCTTGACAGTACAACACGGTGTTGTACTGTCCAGACTCTTAATTCAAGAGTTAATTGTTGTCAGCACGTGACGTGTTACCCCTCTAATTCAGACTATCTGAGAAGGCGAAGAAAGCAGTCCGTAAGGTGCACTCTGCACTCGTCAACGACGGTGCTCTGGAGCGAGCCACTTCGGCCATAAATACTTTGGAGCCCTTGCTCATACTAAGTGACTACTTACAAGCTGATTCAACGACGTATTGGAGTGGGCTGAAGGCTATGATGGACACGTACAACGCTATGTTGGCATTGCCAGACTCGCTCTTGTCGTCCGAGTCTCGCTCGAAGGTTCGCCATCGTCTTGAGAAAGCCCTCGATGGTTGCGATTGGGTACCTCTTTTCGATGTGAATCTCTGGTGTGAATCCCCTGAGAGACAAAGAGAGCAGATTTCACTAGCTCTCAAGGGAATACGCGAGTACTGTAGTAAATATCCCGGTATCATTACTCTTAACGGTAGCATCAGCTTCATCGGAGAATTCTTCCGTGGAGAAGGTGAAACTTTCATGGCATCAGATTGTCTGTACAGACTGTACAGTACAGTCACTGCCTTCCATTGTGGAAGGCAGTGACTGTACAGACGAACTCATATCAACTCTCTTCAGGACTGTTTGAAGAGCGTCGGAAACCCGGTTTCCACTGCTCTAATCCAGTCGACTTCTGGGCCCGGCATCAGAGTATCTGCACCGTATCGTGTTTCATATATTGCACTTCGAGCATCTGCGCTAGTACGGCACCATTGGAACGTATCTTTTCACGAGCTAAGCACGTCAGCAAGTACTAGCAACGTCACATGCTTAGTAGTTCTGAGTCAGTACGTGGTCACTCAGATTGAGCTGCTCAATTTGAGCAGGCCTATCATGCGAAAAGGTGTAGCTTGCTTTCAGAGTGAATATGCTCACCGGGAATATTTTCCGAGATGTTTTCCTGAAATGGTGCACGGAAGAGAGAGAAGCTGGTAAGAGATTGTCAGATACATATGAGGCTGGGGCGGAGAGTGTAGTAGTTCTATGTGAAGTAATCCGCTAGGTTCACATTCTCAGGCCTTCACGTTGAAGCCTCCGAAGGTGACGGCTGCAACACAAGCTCACTCTAGATGTGGAGACGCTACTCA